TCCCCCCACCCCACCCAAAAAAGAAGATTGTGGAAAAATAAGAGAATATAGTATATAGGAATGGAGAGGGGGGGGAAAACTCCACCAAAGAGAAATTTGACCCTTTTTTTCATTTACGTGTCCCTCTCTCTTCAAAGATGATGGCATTGGTGTAGGTCAGGAAGTTCAGTTGAAGAAATCATAGACAGAAACAGAAAAGTAAGAGGAGAGGAGGTAATAGAAAAAAACCTGCAAATTTTAGTTTGATTTATTGACAACTGGAGGTTTTGAGCGAGAACCAGGAAAGCCAAAAGGTTATAAAATCCCAGTGGTATCATAATAGGCAGAGGATCTAATATAGGAAGGAGAAATCAGGTTTTAAAGATGAAACAAATGTATCAGAATTTTGCAGCAGTTTGAACATCTGGAAAGAATGAGAAAGAACAGATAATCAAGAAGAAATTGATCTGAATCCAGATTTTCCAAGTCAGATTCTTCTAAATCTGGTGTAAGGCTGAAACCTAAGTAGACAGTTTTTCAGATACAGAAACAAAACAACATAAAACAGAACATCTTCAATTTTAACTAATACATATTTGTATATTCTTGGGAAATGAAGGATTATTGACCTCAGAATTTACTTGGCAGAAGTTATGCATCCTGGTTTTCAGAATTAAAGATAAAGATGAGGGAGATTTAGTGTAAGACTTGGACATACCGATAAGAGAACATCAATCTGAGAGATTACCAAAGCATATTAAACATTGCTAAAAAGCAGTCTTTTTTTTTTAGCATCCTGATACAAAAACAAACCACATAACATGTTTTAGACAAAACATTTTTTTTACATATATCTTAAAAAGTCCTAACAGGTAGCATAGCACGGCCCCCAGGAAAGAATGTGTTACAGTTGAATAATAACTTCTTGGAAATCATCAGCTGAGTTCTGAGTTGAGGACAGTAGAGGATAACTTGTCCAGAATGAGAATTCTTGATATTGGAAGTAATGCTGAATTGTAAGGATACCAAAAAACAACAACAAACAACCCTGCCCCAAATCAAAAGAAACCAATGTTAAAAGAGGTTACACTGTAAAATAATAGCTTTATGGCAATCTTCATGCCACTAGATTGGGAACAAAATTTAAATACAGGAAGGCACCTCATTGAGAAAATGTATATTGCGACTTTAAATTTCCAGGTTACAACAGCATACCAAAACAGTGTATCAAGTGTATCACAACTTCTACATACTGGATATACAATCTTCATTGCCTAATCAAACGTCAGCAAGAAAACAACCAAGGATCTCTCATTTCACCCCTGAGCTACACATATTCTCCCTTATTTGTATCAACTTTGCAATTACAGCAGAGGTGGTATTCAGCAGGTTTTGACCAGTTCTGGAGGACCAGTAGGGGAAATTTTGAGTAGTTCGGAGAACAGGCAAGTTATCACCTCTGACTAGCCCCTTCCCCCTATAGTCTCTGCCTCCCGAGTCCCAGATGATTGGCTGGGTCTTCTTCTGTTGCCCTGCACTGGAGAAAGGAGCTGGAAAGCAGGTTAGTGCAGTGGGGAGGGAATGGGATTTTGCAGTAACCTTCCCCCAGGAGTGGGGAGGGAATGGAGATTTTACAGTATCTCTCCCCTGCCACACCCACAAAGCCACATCATGCCCACCAAGTCACGCCCACAGAACTGGTAGTAAAAAAATTTTTGAATCTCACATTGAATAACAGGTAGCCTTCAGCTTAACATTCAAACCATTCATTATAGGATGGTTTGAAGTTAGAACAGAATCAGAAAAAGTGCCTTATGACCCAAAGATTCAGAGTTACACCCACTGCACCATCCCTGACATCATATGATCATAATCTGGGTGCTTGGCAACTGGCTTCCATTTACACTGGTTGCAGTGTACTGCAACCATGATGGTGATTTGCAACCTTCCCAGTGAGCTTCCAACAAGTCAATTAGGTAAGCCAGACTTACTTAATGACCATGTCATTTGCTTAACGACCACGTTGACAATAACTGTAAAACTAGGTCTGGTCATGTAATGACTCGCTTTAACAGTGTGTTGCTTAGCACTGAAATTCTGGTACCTATTGTGGTTGTTGAAGACTATTTGTATTAAGTATGAAGGTGTTAAAAGAAAAATAGTGACGCTATTAAAAAAAATGAAGATACCATAAAACAACTCAGGTTTTTGGAGTGGATGAAATAAACTATGTGAAACCATATTGTGCAAGAGATGCAGTCCTCCTGATCAAAACCATTTCTTTCTTACATTAAAATTCAATTTGTTAGACTACAAACTGAGTTAACTGTAATTTTGCTTGCAGAGCAGAGTTTTATTTGCTTGAGTGCTCATGCTGTTAAATTTCTTCCCTTGGCAGATCAAACGTGCCTTCTTCTATATGTTACCAAGTGGAAACCTTTTATTTGAGATGCATTACTATTGTAATGGCTTGTAAAATATATTACTGATTTAAAGCAGATATGTTCACTCACACCAGGAATGGTGCTCTCAAAAACAGATGTGGCTGGAATAATTATTTATTTACTGTGCTTATATACCACTGTATGAATCTAAATGATCTATAGCCTGCGGTGTACCAGACTGTTCACAGTGTCCTCACTGCCATTTCCTTTCCAACCCAATAGCCACAATTCTTGCCCCAGTTCCATTACCTCCAAAAGAACCACATGTATTATGCATCAGCTACATAATTCCATTCTGCCCCAATTTTCAGAGTCCTGCTAGGACTTTTGCATTTCTCTGTAACAACAACTACTTATTAATTAAGTTGTTCTGAATTGAAATATTCCTCTGAATTTAATCCAGTTCCAGTGGTATGTTCAAAAATATTTTCTGTGCAGTTGTTATCACTCTTACTTGGCACAATACTTCCATTACTGATCATACTAAGAGAAATTAAGTTTTATCTATAAGTTGTGGTTCTTTCATTCATGTTCTTTGAACTTGATTGTGCATTTTTTCCTGAATGCCATCACTCTGTTAAACAAATAATTCCCTCAACACCATCAAACTATTTACTAAGTCTGCATTACTACTACTATTAATCCTCCCATCCTTCCTTTCACCCATATCCTCCCACTTATGACTGTATGACAGTAACTTTGTTGCTTGTATCCTAACAACTTTTATTGACTGTTTCCTAATATGATTTGATTGCTTATTGTACCCTATTATTAAGTGTTGCACCTTATGATTCCTTACTCTTCACAAATGTATCTTCTTTTTATGTACACTAAGAGCATATCCACCAAGACAAATTCCTTGTGGTCCAATCACACTTGGCCAATAAAGAATTCAATTCAACTCAATAAAATTATTGCTCTATTTCTTTATATACATGTAAGAGCTCTCTGAATAATAAACATATTGAAAGTGGAAACTACAGCTTTTTTCCTAAAAAAAATATTTTTAATCATTTATTTTCTGGACTAATTTTATAAGACTGCTCAACTCAAACAAGGTGACTTGGGTTGGGGATCTACAGAACTTTTAAAACCTAAACAATTGAAGGTATCACAGGAAAATCAATTTGCACTGGCTTCTGTCATTATTAATCTGCCAAACAGCAGATTATATAGTGGAACCTTCGGTCACAACCATAATTCGTTCCGTAACTTCGGTCGCAACCCGATTTGGTCGTGACCGGAAGCGAGACTGACTGTGCATGAGCCGTTAAAAAAAAATTGGCATGGAAGGGGAAATCAGTGCGGAAGGGGAATTGGCTGTGGCTGTGTTTGATCCCCACCTGATTTTTGAATTGTGACCTGATTCAAAAATGTGGATTTTTTGGTCAGAACCCGATTTGATCGTGGTCAGAAGCATTCATGACCAGAGGTTCCACTGTACTTTAAACTGCCACAAGGCATAAAAGAAATATATTGTGACACATATTTGATAAATAAATTATATACAAATACACCGATTCCAACTATTTGAACTTATTACCACACATAAGCAGGGCTTAGTTATGGGTATCCTCATCAAAAAATCTGGGCCTTGTAAGATAGCATTATGTTCCTGAAGCAGTCCTATTTATTCTTCAAACTCAAAGTTTCCCAATCTATATTTTATCATGAACCAGCTGAGAAGATAAGCCACCTATGTTTGGGGAAAGAATTGTAGTAGTCACTGTGAAGTGACAATATACGGTGACAATTATATTTCCTCTTTAGGAAATAATGCATGAAAAATGGCAAAAGTTCATCTGCAAAAAGTGATTAGAGGGCTTCTAAAATTAATTAAAAACAGCAAAGGGAAAATAATGTTCTAAAAAAAAATTAAGAGCATCAAATATCTTATAATTACAACAGAAGAACAAACTTAAGAAAATTAAACATCTTAAAAGAAAAAAAAGGGATGCTGGTACTAAATATAGTAAATTAGGCCCCCAATGGCTTTTTTCTGCCAAGCGTATTTCACAAATAGTGGACTCTTAGTAAAACGGCCCCTTCACAATCAGCCATATGCTGTATAACAACCCTCAAGCAAGGATAACGCAGGTAACACAAAAGCAGAAAAGATAAACACTTTTCCTTATTAAGCATGTTAATCCACCAATCATGTACGACTTTCCTTCCATAAAAATACTAATAAGAATCTGTTTATCTTTCCAAGGTGGCTATCACAGACATACTATATAGCTCAGGAGCATCCATATAGAACAGAGTCCTCACTCTAGTGGCAGGAAAGCCTTCTGAGTAAATTCTCTGCTAATTGGAAACTGAAAAAAGAACATCTCACTCTTTGATGTAATGGTGTTTCTGTTTTCTGAGGAATTTGAAAAACATGAGTACTCTAGAGCAATGTCTCTCAACCTTGGGAATTTTAAGATGTGTGGACTTCAACTCCCAGATTTCCAACTCAAATCTTAAAATGTTTAAGGTTGAGATATTTTGCTCTAGAAGAAAGAGGTGCTAGAGGAGGCAGGAATCAACATTTGCTCCTGATAAGCCAAAAGCCTCAGAGCGCTGCAAAAGTACCTGTTGTTTCAGCTGCTGAACCAAGCGGTCTTTTTCACGTTTTAATCCAGCGACTTCCTCTTGAGTTTTTTTCTTAGAGGACGAAAGCTCCAGGAGAGCAATGTTGGCATCTTTTTCACTAATGGCAGCTAGAAGGGCTTCTTGTCTGAAAAAAAAGAAAAAAAGAAAAAGAAAAGAACTGATTAACTTCACTCACCCTGCTCAAACATATCTTGCCCTGTTCATAATTTAATGCCGATTCCTGCTTTGTATTCCTTTTAAAATATCAGGATGTATCTTGTTAAAGCTATGGTCATTTTAGGACGCTTATAGAGGTGATATGTTGAGGGAACTATAAGCCGCATTGGCTTATAGAACTGCAGAAAAAAACGATAACTACCCACCTGCCTTCCATTGAGGACCTGTATACTGCACGAGTCAAAAAGAGGGCTGTGAAAATGTTTACAGACCCCTCACATCCTGGACATAAATAGTTTCAACTCCTTCTCTCAAAACGACGCTATAGAGCACTGCACACCAGAACAACTAGACACAAGGACAGTTTTTCCCCGAACGCCATCACTCTGCTAAACAAATAATCCCCTCAACACTGTCCAACTATTTACAAAGTCTACATTAATATTACTATTAATCTTCTCATCGTTCCTATCACTCATCTCCTCCCACTTATGATATCCTTATGATTTATATAGATTGTTTCCTAGTATGATTTGATTGCTTACTTGTACCCTATGACTATCATTAAATGTTGTACCTTATGATGAATGTATCTTTTTTATGTACACTGAGAGCATTTGCACCAAGACAAATTCCTTGTGTGTCCAATCACACTTGGCCAATAAAGAATTCAATTCAATTCAATTCAATTCAATTCAATTCAATTCAATTCAATTCTATTCTATTCTATTCTATTCTATTCTAAGCATTCACTGGAATTTATAGCAGAAGTATTTGCTAAATAAATCTATTGGGAAATCTCATGATAGCAGTGAGATTCTATCAGAGAACTGACAGTCCCTTTAAATATGACCATATCCTGAATATCCCCTTTATGCAAGAAAGTTGTATGTACACATGCACACCTAGACAGCTTCCTAAAGCAAGCTATATCCAGTTAAACTCAGAGCAAGTTACATATATCCGTCTACCTTATCATTTAAAAAAGTTAAGCTTCAAAGAGTTTCAGTTCATTTTTCAACTTAAAATGCCCTGTATTTTTATGAAATGCAATATAAGCTGCTAGCATATCAAAGGGAAAAAGAATTCTCGACAAGAGAGATCATGTCAGAATATTTCCAGAAGTACTGCGGAAGTTCCTCCTGCTCAACAAAATTCTCACCATGTGCAACCACTGAATATGGAAAAGATTAGTGTACAAGGTAGCAGCAAATGCATGGAAAGTTTCTACTACATCAGTTTAGTCATCACAGCTTTAATGCAGTACCTTATAACACAGGCTGCCTGCATGGTCCTACTACAAACAGCTCACAGATTCATATTCAACTGTAGATACTTCTCAATTTGTATCTGAGCCTGCCCATGCAGCAACACATGTTCTAGATTTGTTATTCTGTTCAGTGGAATTGGCAATGTGGAAATGGAGGCAGTCTGTATTACTTTAACTGTCTTGGAATTATCACCTTTTCATGAATAAAGGCAAATATGCATATATCCCAGGATAATGCTGCAGGATCCAATCTTGGTTGGTCACTGGGGCCAGAGGTTTAGTCTTCTGAGTTTTCGGACTCATGCTGGAGCCCATCCTCTGGGAGCTTCTCTCTCACCACAATATGTCACACAAGTCCAAAAGCTGTGAAGACTAAAGCTGTGGTGCTGACCCAGATTGGATTCTGCAAAGTCACCTTCTGGACAACTTTATGTTGATTATTTATATGAAATCTGCAGGAGAGGGGGGGGAATCCATGAAAATGGTTGTCTCCAGAATTCAGAATATTTCTATCTATATTCCAAAAGTTTCTTTTTCTCCTTCTATCACATCTCCATGAAATAGGCCAGAAGTGCTTTTCCATGCTCATGTTTTCACCCACTTTAGAGGGGCAATTGTTGGGTACCTGGGAAACAACATTCTATTTAATTCCTAAGCAACTGATTGTGCTTCCTTAGATGTGTCCAGCTTCATTTCTGCTTTTAGAGGGTTTTTTGCTTGTTAGTTAGCTGCCTAACAGCTCAATTAAACAAATAATATATGCATGGCGTTTTAAGAATCCTTTAAATATTGTTCACATTTAGAATACAGCTGGAAAATCCATGGTCTACATATTTTCTGAATCTACCTTTCAGAGCCCTAGATTTTATGTTCCTGAGGTCTTGTTCCAAAAACACATACACATGCAATACAAATCACTTAAATATTAAAAAAAACCCAAATAATCTTGCACGTTCCAGATTTTAAACATTTTCAAACCACTTTTACTATAAATTATAATTAATGTTTCTCAGAAGAGGCACCCAGCTAAATATTCTTCACTTATAAATAACATTGGAATTATATTAAATCTTTAGACATGAATTATTTCTGGATTTAAAGAAAAAGCTATTTAAGAACCACCTCCACGTTACTGGAAAAACTATCTAGATACTGATGAAGTCTGAACTCCCTGCAGAGTCTCTGAGGGAGTTCCTTCAAATGTGTAACCAATACCACAAAGACATCTCAGATATGACTTTATAGACTGGTCTCTTACTTAAAGATACATCAAAGGTCAAGACCATGTGTTGGTTACATTTCTATTATTCCCACAGTGCAATGACGTGAAAAAATTCAATGGCCTGAGGTCAGAATAGTCCACTCATAAAATGATTTATGGCCCGGCAGCTCCATTCCTCAGGTCTATGGATTTTATTACAAAATAAACCTCAGAACAAGATACAATTTCCTGTCTGAGTGAACAGCTTTTACATAAGGACACCTGGACAGCCTTGCAATTATTTAAGTGAAATAATAGGTCTGAACTACACAAGTTCAACTTGTTGCTGGTGTTCGCATCCTATAGCTGCTAACTTTTAAAATACTCTACATAACCATCAAGTAAACTGGCAAACATCTAATACTGATATGCTGGATCTATTAGCAAGACAGGACAGAAAATTTGCGACACAAAAAATTGTACTTTGGCTGCTAGTAACTTGACTTTTTAAAACTGCTTTAAAACTGTTAAATCATCACAAAAGAATATTCTTTTTCTTAAGATAAGCTCTTGATTGCTGCGCAGAACAAAAATCTATTTTCACAAGGACATACTTCACTATTCTCACATAAAGGACATAAATCAGTTACTCCAAATGTCTCTCTCTCTCTCTGTCTGTGTGTGTGCGTGTGTGTTTGTGTGCATGCATACACACACTCATGTGTGTATGCAATAAACAGGGCTATTTATTGTGGTGAATGCAATATGTAATAAATGTTACAATTTATTAGAAAAGGTTAGAGCTTTTCATTTCTTTTAATATATATGTGATTCCTATAAGCCTTAAATTATGTTAAAAACATTTAAATGGTTTGTTTATAAGGTTGTCAAGACCTCAGTTACGATGTAGCAGTATACATAAAGGGAGATATTTGGAATGTATATGGTAAATTGCTGATCAAAACTGGGGACAATTTAGAAAGCAGAAAATACTAATACAAATATTATGTCCCCAAAACTTCCTTGCAGTTGAAATCCTATCACAAGGTTCTTGTAGCCAGAACTGATGCATGCCTAGATAGCAATACTGAAAAATGAAACCCAACAACATTATGGACTGGGGTCATTTAAATGTATCAATGTGTTTAAAATATAATATTTATTTCAGCCTTCCATTAGTTTGAGTTGTGCCCATTTAGTAAAATCCAAAAACAAAAATTGTTTCCAAGAAACTGCAGTATATATGTATGTACAATTCTTTGGAAATCAGCATTAAAGAGTGAATAAATTTTCTCAATCTACCAAAAAGAAATAGTATACAGCAACAACAAGAACACATTAAGTTTGTTGTACCATGGCAGCCAAACTTTATTATAAGGACTCTAAGGGATCAATCTTAATACATTTCACATGGTGCCAGTGTTTCTAAGAAAGATAATTGCTTTTTCATCTGATTGCAGAAATATTCTCAAAGGACCAACAGAATTTTTTCTCTTTCCTGCAACTTCACAGGAGAACGATGCATGCTTTAACAGAGATCATCCTGATTTTTTTTTCCAGGACACAGGTTAAGAGGTTAACTGAAAAACAGAGTGACATATTCTTGAAACAAGAATTAAATTCTGGGGGGTCAATAAAGATGAACACCATGGCAAGAAAGATTTTTTTTAAGACAAAGAGGGAAAGTTTTAATTACTGAATTTTCCAAAAGTAATTTCAAGAAATAGAACTAAAATAAAATCAGACGGAGAAGTTTTAATTAGAAGTGCCATATTTCCTGTCAACCTGTGTGTGTGAGAGGGATGAGCTAATATTTACACAACCAGCAAGCTCAAGTGATTATTCCTGGTGTTTAGTGGCTTGTTGCACTGCTTTTGCATATTGGGATTGTTTTAGGTGTTGTGACTAACAGTTTCTTCCAAATAATTGTGTAGAATAAATGCATGGTAAATGCTGGAAAGCCCGGGTCACCTGAGCAAACAAATTGTTGCAAAGATTAATGACAGCTGTTGTGTACATAAATAACCTCAGTTACATTTTTAACTTGGGAAATCAAGAACTTTCTTATGGAAATAAATTTGGTTCAACTGAGAGGGGCAGTTACCTGGTGGAGGGTAGGGTACCTCATATCACAGGCTTTACTACAGAGGCAGTCTGAGGTTACTCTGTGATAGTTCTAGTTCTTCTCCCAAAGTCTATAGGCAGCCATTGAGAGACACTGTTAATCAGACCAAGGACCATTTTTTGTCTCAAAGCCTGTTTGTATAAAAGTACATCAACTTCAGTTACTATTCATAAGGGATCCCCTAAAGAGCTGTAAAATCTGCCTTCAGCCAGCTGCTGTAATTGCTGTCTGTCAAAACAGAACTGTTTTCTTACCAAACATTTCAAAGCGTCCAGAGTTTGGTTGATTAGTTTGAAGATGGGCGGGTGATGGGAAGGGTGAATGAGGGACAGAGTAAGACTGATGGCCTGTGGACACTGAACTTTTATTTAG